ATAGACCTTCTATAAGGCTCCTTTCACGGTAACTACCCACCCGAAGATGTCCTAGATTTAGGGCGGAAATCGGGCTCGGAGTTTATAGGGCCAGTTTGGGGTTTAGGGTTAGAGTGCAGAGCTTTGAGAGTTTATAAGGGTTTAGGGAAGTTTTGGGTGTAGTTTTGTTTTTGTGTGTCGGGGGCTCGTTTCCAAATTACAACTAGAATTCCTTACAAGTACCAGGAGAAGCCGGGTGTCGGGGTCTCATGTACGTCGATTTCGCACCTCACAAGATAACCTGCTTGGGGTTGGTGTAGGGTTTTTAGCAGGGTTTGAGGTCTAGGCGGTTTAGGGTATAGGGTTTCGAAGTTTTTTTCGAGGGTCAATGGACTTACTAAGTATCTTGAAAATATAGAGTTCTAAATAGGATAACCCCAATGACGGATCGTATAACTTAATTCTTATTATTCCATACCTCTGACCGCCTTACCCAGTCCGCTGATCCCTTAAGCAGAGCTTAAGTCTTCTGTAGAGCTTTGGGATGCGCTGTGCTATACTATGTCGGGACTGAAAGGTGATAAATTCTACTATAACTATTCCACTCCGACCCCTATGTGAATCCTGAGCTTTAAAACCTTCGTCCAAAACCTGACTTAGCCTAAACCCTTAAACCTGAAAACCTAGCATCCTTCAGTCAGTACGGTAATTAGCCCTTATAGCAACCCCATAGTAACCCGTATCAAATTCATTAAGCAAAAACCTTGTCGGGTTTTGGCGCACAAAGAGCCCCTGGCTCCTCGTCTGCCCAGGCAAAGAACTGGCAAGCCTTGCGCACACAGACCTCCAGCTGCTTTTCGAGGATTGGTCTAGGGAGCCGCTAAGCTCCTCCCTACCTGTAATGTAGGAATCTAAATAATCAATAATTAGAATTAGAACAGGGTGCTGGGCTAATTTAAAATACCTATAATCAGGAACCCTGAGGAATGTTATAATTTAGGCCCTTATAATACTCCGTTTGGCTATATGTTTCGTCCTAGGCAGGTGCGGTAGTGTAGGCGGTGGTGCTACCGGTGGAGTATGGGCAGCTCTAGAAAAGAGCCTCCCCGTTTGGGTTTGGCACTTCACCATTGAAGAAAGTGCCCACTCAGCGGCAGCTGCACCCCCAGCCCTGATGCTGTGCATTAACGATGCACGAATGAAACTAGTTCCCACTGTTGCCACCCTACCTTAAACTACCATAACCTACCTATTTTTGTAGGTTCTTACAAGTCAAACTAAGAAGCTTTCGATAGAATTTATAAGGACCCTACAAAAAAGCAGGTTTTGGTAGGTTAAGGTATGAAGGCACCGTAGTAGACGCCGAGGCCTTGCCGAACCCTGCGCTGAGGTGGCCACGTTGAAGGGCCGGCCCTTGTTGGGGCCTTCTTTCTGCACCTCGCGCTCTGGGTACCGAGTTTCGGATTTCCAGCTTCACTTTTGTGTTTTAGGCCTTAAACCCTATAGACCCTAAACTGATAGGGTTTACTACACCCCAAACACTCAACATTCCGATGGTATCCGGGTTTGGGTCCTTCGGAGCGCTGGTCGTACGGTACCAGCTTTCGCATGAAGTCCCCAAGCCCTGATTACACCCGACGAGCCCTACCACCCGAACCCTAAACTCTAGTACAAGTACCACAAAAACCCAACACTATAGAACACCCAAAACAGCCCCAACTCCCAAAACACTATATGCACTACCTCGGGCCCTCTTCCGGGTGGTAGCCTCAACCGTACCCTCAACCGCGCTTTGGTGTTACATTTCAGGGGGGTGGCCTGAGGTTCATGGTCCTTGTTAGGTCGCTCGGTGCCCTTTGTCAAATACCCGGGGACCTAGATTAGGGTAGAGTCTAGGGTGCAGGGGCTAGGGTTTAGGGTGATGATGCTAGTGAGGATGATGGTGGTGAAGATACTGACAATGACGCATTCCCGCTAGACTTGTGCGAGTATGCTTTTCTTAGTTACACGACTTTTAAACCCTAAACCCTTAAACTCTGAAATTTCGCTCTGCTCTATACTTAGTCAGTTACACTTATACTACTTTTAGACCCTAAACCCTAAACCCTAATTAAACCCTAAAACCCTAAACCCTCTACCCTAAACCCTAAACCCTAAAACCCTCAAATTTCGCCTCGGCTCCCTCTCCCCCCATCGGCCTTGCGCTGTACGCTCGGCACCCCGCAGTCGCAGGGGGGCCCGGGAGGAGGTGGCGCTTCGTCCCCCCACTGGAAGAACCTTCTTGTCGCTGGCGTGGTATCTAATATAGGGGGGGGTTAGGGTTTAGGGTTTAGGGTTTAGGGAGAATAGGGTTTGGGGGGGTTCCTTTTTAAGGGTTCCTTATAAAAGGTTCTATAAGGGCCACTATAAGGGTTTCGGGTTTAGGGGCCTTGATAATTAGACTAGGGTTTGGGGGATTCCTGTTTAAGGGTTCCTTAAAGGGTTCTATACGGGCTACTATAAGGGTTTTGGGTTTAAGGGCCTTGATAGTTAGAATAGGGTTTTAGATATTATACTACTGTCATAAGGAACCATCCAAAATAGCATAGGTAATTATTAAGGCCCCTACATTAGGGTTTCCGTACTGTCTCAGGTTGAGAGCTGCTTTGGATTGGGATAGAGTTGGAGGGATTCAGAGTTTAGGGTCTATAGGGTTTAGGGTTTAGGTTTAGGGTTTAGGGTTTAGGGTTCGTCTTGGAGGCTTGTGATATAGTAGGGCTATGAGTATCAGCATGAAAACTGGTTCCAGATGTTCGATAAGGGGTCGCTTGGAATCTCCACGTGACTCACGTGGTTGTTGCTTGAACACTCCCGCAACCCTAAACCCTAAACCCTAAACCCTAAACCCTAAACCCCATGAAATATGTACAGCGGCCGATTGCTGCTCAACACCCTAAATCCCAATCCCTACCTTAAGAACCCAAACCCTACTTTTTTGTAGGGTCCCTATAAATCCCATATTAGGGTTTATTTATAATAAGAACCTACAAAAAAGTGGGTTTTGGGTTCTTAGGGAACACCCTAAATCCCAATCCCTAAAACCTGAACGGTGCACCCCGAGCCCCAACGCCCCAAAGCGTCACAGAACCACCTCGGGATTTCAAATCAAAATCCTCAAAGTACCCCTAAACCCTGAACCCTCAGCCCCCTGATGTACTCGCCCTGAAGGTCTGATAGGCTGAAAGGGACCCGAAACCCTTAAGGCCCTACGCCCTAACCCCTAAACTCCAAACCGTTGAACCAAACCCCCATTATGAACCCTAAACCCTCAACTCTCAACCCTAAACCCTGAACTCTAAACCCTAAACTCCCAACCCTGAACCCTAAACCCTAAACCCTAAACCCTAAACCCTAAGCTCCAAATCCTAAACCTGCCTGGACCCTAAAGAACCTATCTTTTTAGGGCTCCTTATTATGACTTCTTTATAGAAGTCCTGAAAAAGGTAGGTAATTTGGGGTTGAAATGAAGCCCTAACCGTAACCCTCGCATCCCTAAACCCTAAACCCTAAACTCTCAACCCTAAACCCTAAACTCGAAACTCTAAACCCTTCAAGCTCTAAATCCAAAACCCTGAAGCCTCGTATCTCTGAGCCCAGCGGCTGGCAGGTGCGCTGCGCGCAGCCGAAGAAGGGCCTCCCTTGGTTCGGGCCATCCTTGCGCACCACCAGGCCCATGCTCCTAAGGAGGGGGGTTTAGGGGTTTAGGGGTTTAGGGTTTAAGGTTTAGGGTTTAGGGGGTCGCTGCGTAGAGGTTTAGGGTTCAGGGTTGAGGGTTTTTTTCCGGGGTTTGGGGGATTTTAGGATTTAGGATTGAAGGTTCAGGGTTTATAGGATCTAGGTTTCAGGGTTTAGGGTATCGGATCTAGGGTTCAAGGCTATAAAGGTGCCTATATGTACCCATATAGGGGGTCTTATAATGTATGCTACAACTGCTTTTTCGCAAAGGGCCCAGTAAGGGTTCTCATGAAAAGGCTTCTTTGAGGCTGCAGGGGTTGTGATGGCTCTTGTAAAGGACTCGATAAGGGCACGTAGTTGTCATCATAAGATCTTTCAAGGGCTGATGGACGGGTATCGGGGTTAAGGCCTTAGGGTTTGGGGATCAGGGTGTCTTGGAAGTGGGGCTTCGGCCTTGACGGTAGGGTTGGAAAGCTTAGGGTTTAGGTCTTTCGGGTTTCAGGGGGTGCGCTTTGGATCTGCAGGAGCTTACCACTTCGAGGGTGCTGCTCGAGTACTTGGGGTTGTTTTGCTTCGTTTTCGAGCGTTAGGGTTCGAGGTTGCTGTAGGGAATTGAGCATGCAAGCGCTGTGGGAGGACATAGAACTCCTCTTCCTTTGTCTCCGGTTGGCAGGTAGATCTCCCAACAATAAGCGAACGGTGCCCCAAAAATTCCCACAGCCGCAGCCCTGTCAGCCCAGAATCCCGGAACCACGGTGCCGTTTCCTCAAACCCTAAAATCCCCAAACCCCCAAACCATACAACCCTAAACCCTACAACCCTAATTTCTAAACACAAACCCTCAATCATCCAGGGTATGGGCTGGAAAACGATATAGAACCCCAATATACACCCATAGGGCCCTTCTAGAACACTTCTGGAACCCTACTAGAACCCGTTACAGAACCTCCTAAACCCTAAACACTCAACCTTGGAAGAACCCCATCAAACCCCCCTACAGACTACAGAAGCATTATAAAGCCCCATATACAACCCAGAGAACCCTATAAAACCCCCTGTATAGAGCGGGGAGAACCTCATAAAATCCCCTCAAAAGAAGCCTCATAGAACCCAGAGAACCCTATAAAACCCCTCTAAAGCATAGGCCGAAAAACTCTAAACCCTTCATAGAAGCACCGAGGTACGGCTGGCCACAAAAGCACGGCGGCCCATCTGCCACAGCTGGCGGTTGCCCAGGAGCTCCTCCCTGTGGTCCCCGTGGTGGCTCCTTGGATTTGAGGGTTCCCTAACCCCAGGTACCTACTCTTCAGGGCCCGAGGGGCTCTGGTACCCTATATAGTAGGTACCTGGGGGGTTAGTTAGGGGTGTATCGGATTTAGGATTTAGAGGCTTTCGGATTTAGGGCTTGTGAGATATTAAGAGGTTTGCGAAGGGTTTCCAAAGGATGTCAGAGGTTTAACAGGCCGCCATAAAGTGGGAGTTGCACAGTTTGCGTGGAAAGAACAGCTCGGAAGCAACTTCGCGCTTGTGCAGCGACAAACTTACAGCGTAGCGACCAAGCACAAGTACCTTAAGAACCCAAAACCTACTTTTTTGTAGGGTCCCTATAAATCCCATACTAGGGTTTATAATAAGAACCTACAGAAAAGTGGGTTTTGGGTTCTTAAGGTATTGCTGGATTGCAAGAATAGTATTATAAAGGATCTGGACAGTGAGTGCGTTGCCTTGGCCGTGATGGTCGTTCTGGTCGGCAGTACTTCACATGTCTGGTTTGTTTTAGCCAGGGTCTCACAGTAGCAGGGACGGAAGGCCGGGACGGAAGGTAGTGCGTAGACAATACTTGCAATTGGGTTCAACTCCGTACTTCAGACATGCATGTTGCAATGTTTGGCTTTCCATAGGTTAACAAGAGAAACAGAGGTGTTTGTTTACAGGTGTTCAAAAAGCCTATGTGTTTCTATAGCCGGAACGAGCTGAACTCTCTACTCAACATATTTGCCGTCAGGCGGTCGATCTTCCGAAATAGTGGAAACCGGATGATTGCCGTACTCCTACGCAGGTTTTGGGCCCGTACTGAATATGCGCACTCTACTTTGGCTAAGAACGCCCAGGCTCGTCCGAGAACTGGAAGAAGCCACAGCTTTGACACTTCCAGAAGGTACGGCCTAAGTTAGGGCCTTCCTTGCGTACGGTGAGCAGCGTAATTGTCTGTCCGCAGGTGCACTGCTTTGTCTCCTGGGGTGCCTCCATCGGGTTTTGGAAGGGGGCTCCCATCTGTCCTGGCGCGAAGGAAGGAGCTCCGAAGGGGTCTTGAGGTGCTGCTCCCATCTGTCCGGGTGCCTGGACTGGAGCTCCGAAAAGGTCCTGTGTGGGAGGGGCTCCCATCTGCCCGGCTAAGTTCGCTCCGAAGAGGTCCTGTGCAGGAGGGAATCGGCCCGGTCCGTTCTGTGCTGTTGGCAGACTCTGGCACGCTTGACCTCGTGGTTCTCTCGACCCGTTTTGCTGGCGGGCAAACTGGTTGGAAAAAGTCGGTGGATTCTGTGGCCAGCTGTTTTGGGGGGGATGCTGATGCTGCATGCCAGGCCGCACATGTGCTGGATCATTGAAGTGGTGAGGGGGAATGGGCGCTGCGAAGGGAGGCCGCGCATGTGCTGGATCATTGAAGCCGCGGGGGGCACTGCCTTCCGGCGCTGCAAACAAGGCATTGGATTCGGGCATCGGCTGCTGCCGCATCCCGCTGTGGTGCTCGGTCGCTCCTTGCATGGAAGCTTGTGGCTGGGCGAATCCGTCTTGAAAACTAGGCATATGGTTTGGAGCCTGTGCCTGCGCAGGCGGAGCGGCAGGGCCGGGCCCTCCCTGGAAGGCGAAGCTGTCCATGCGAGACTTCGCATCCTGGGCGTACTGCTGCTGGTATGGGTTGAGGCTATCCGCCCCTGCTGGAGCAACTTGGGTCCCCCCACATCCACCCGGCCTGGGATGGCCCCAAATCTCATCCTTCGGCACGCCCCCAAAACTGGTGGGTGGAGGCCCCCGGACTTCATCCTTCTGCACACCTCCGAAGCCAGCAGGGGGATGGCCCCAAATATCATCTTTGGGCACACCCCCGAAGCCACCCGGCTCGGCACTAAGCGGGTTAACCCACCCGGGATTGCCGAACTCCATGGACACGCACGCAATGGCAGACTCAACCCTAAGAAATGGTGGCTCTCTTTGAGCCATACAGGCCATATATCTGCGGAGTCATGAAACTATACTTAGCGACAGATGGAAGGCTCCGCATTCCTGCCTCATAATAGCCTTATATAACGGCCTTGTAGTTCATGATACCCTTACAGTAGTACTCTTGTAGTAGCCCATTAGTATCCTTATACGAGTCCATAAACCCATCGAGAAAAAGCAGCTACCAAAGCCGCTCTCCGGAGGCAGCAACGTGTTGGAACTGCGCCAGCAAGCTCGTCGACGGCCACCGTCGAAACCCTAAACCCTGTAAACCCTACACTTACTGCACCCTAAACCCTAAACTCCCTAGACACTAATTAAGCCCTAACCCCTCACACGGAATCGCTTCAGCTTCCCGCGTGCACATCCACTCCTCCGTCTTGTTGGCGTACCTCCGGGGAGCTGCGCTGTAAGCTCACCAGGCGTATCTAGGAACCCGGGTTAGGGTTTAGGGTTTAGACGTCCAGAGTTTACACGGTTAGAGGAACAGGAGGAACAAGACAGCGAGTATCTTAGCGATGGAAGGTGCTGATGATGGATATACGGGTAATTGCCGCGTCCTCGCAGTGATCACGTGTTATTGAACCCAACGACCATAATCCAATTTAGGGTTTAGGGTTGAGGGTTCCGGAAGACTTTCAAGAAAGACCTGGCTGACTTGGCAGCTCCTCACGATAAGGCCCTTGTGCAGTCACTGCTGGACTATTTTGCTACACCTTCTACTCGACCCATGGCCCCATAGTAGTTCCTCTTGGGGGTTACCTTATAGGCTTCTATATATGAACCCCAAAAAGGAACTACTTTAGGGCCTATGGGTGGGCCCCAAGCCCTGACGGAAGGGACGGCAGAGGCGCACGTGGCTTTAGAGATGAGCCGCAGGTCCACCAAGGAGTTCGAACAGAGCTGAAACGGCGAAGGCCTGAGACACTCCAATTCCAAGGTCGGGTTTAGGGTTTAGGGTTGAGGGTTGAGGGTTTAGGGTTTCGGTTCGGACGGGCTGTGCGAATGTAGGGTTGAGGCGTGCAAATGTAGGATTTGGGCGTCTAGCCTACAGGCTAGTTAGGGCTTCAAATATTGAGAAACTGAAACAAACCCGAATAAACCCAACCCTAAACCCCTGAACCCTCTCAACCCTGAAGCCTTAAGCTAAAGCCTTAATCCGCTTGGAAGACACTGGCACATGTTACCCTAAACCGTCCTAACCCCCTGGATCCTTTTTTCTTTAAAGCATATACCCTATAAACCCTTAACCCCAAACCACAGGGGTATTTTTCTAAATCAGGGTCTCTTTTTAGGTCCCCAATATAGTGCGGCACCCTTATAAAGAGGATCCCCAAAAGGGACCCTACTTAGGCCTTACTTTAGAGAACTACCCACATCCTTCTTAACCCTACACCTCTCCCTATAATATAATCCGCTTCGAACCTACCTTCGCCTTCCCCACGCAGAGCTGTCCAACTGAGGGCCCGTCGAGCCGGCGCCTGCGATGTAGTACATCATGATCCTTGGAAGGGGGCGAAGGCACCGAAATGTCGGGGCCGTATAAAATTAGAACAGGGTTCCTTTCAAGGGTTCCTTGAGGGGTGCTAAAAGGTCAGCGTGCTTTGTTGTCACTGGTGATCTGGGCTGCGATACTTAACGTTTACTGTACGTGGCAGGCGTGGCAATTCTTGATCCGGGCCTGAATTCGAAGGCTCATCATGCCAGGGGCCAACAAAAACCCAAACTGCAGCTTACGCCCACCCTCCCCCTCCCCCTCACCATCCCCAACCGCGAAAGCAAGAGAGGGGCCAAACAAGCCAAACCTGCAGCGTTTTTGAGCACAAGTCTCGACACATGTCCGTCATTTTGCCGCCACCCCTGCAACCCCGAAAGCAAGAGAACAAGCCTGAAACAAGGTCACGTGCTGATAAAAACCCTGGTGTTTTGAGGCTTCCTTGCAGGCTTGTAGAGGCCGAATGTAC